GCCCGTGTGCCCTCAGGCAGCTGCCCACCCCCCCGCGCCTCCCCCGGAACAGGTTTCTGGGCCTTGGGCCTAGGTAAAAGCCGGAGTCGCCGTCCTTCTACCAAAGGAGGGGCTTTCTGCATGCAGCAAGCTGTGGGGGTCCAGCCGCCCTCAGGCACCGCAAAACGTTAACGCCCGCCTCTCCTTCCCCCCCACCCCTTAGGCACAGGACAGCGGTGGAAGTATTCGGTGTATATACTTTAATATAAACCATTCATATTTCCCGTTACTTCAATATGTACAAGATAAAGTGATTAAAAAAAAAATACTGTTCCAGCACAAGCATCACACAACTAGAAAGCCCCTTATTTATCCCCGTGTTGCAGTTAGAAGCTCTCAGCCCCATTTCTCCTTCCCACAGCAACAGACTAGAACTTAAAAAAAAAAAAGTGGGAAGTGACATTCAGAAAGTACACCAGCATTTAAATTAAGGCAGAATAAATAACTTTTCTACATCAGTGACAGGCATTTTCAGAGCGGTGCCGGAGCCCAGAGGACTGCTGCTGCCCTCCTGCCTGTGAGGGCTCGGCCCTGGGGGCCCCCCCAGCGCAGGGTGCGGAGCTGGGCTCGGGCTCCCCTCGCTGCGTGCTGTCCTGTGCTCCCCCGTGCTCGGGGCCATGCTCATGGCAGTAGTGTTGGTGTTCCTCAGGCAAGTCAAGCACATGCTGTGAAAGGATCCCCCACACCAAGCAGGGTTTAGCCATAAGGTTATTTCTGTTTTTTCCAAACAACTCAACCTCTTCCCCACCCCATTTTATCTGGGATTTTCCTCCCACACACTGACTCTTCCATAACAGCTTCCTTGTTGCTTCAGCAGCATCCCAACCCCAGGCCAGGGACAGACATGATCCACTCACCCTGGGGAAGGACTGGCTGGCATGAAAGGCCGCAGTGCAGTTCAGGATTTAGGGACCCGCAGCCACCTCTGGAGCAATAACTGATGAACAGTTTCTCAGCCCAGCTTAGTCCAGGTTGAGTGGCTCAAGGGGCACAGTTTCCCCTCTATCAAGGGCAAAGCAGTTGGACATAGCTGGGCAGAGTTAGCTCAAAAAAAAAAAAAGGTGGCCAGGTACAGGGACATGGCTGTTGATGTGAGCAATGGTACATACCTCAACCATAAATACAACCACAGAGTGAATACAATTCTGCCAAGTCAGGGAGGAAATCATAAGTCAGTATCCCACTTTCCCTGCCAGGAGAACAGTCATTTAGAGGAAAACCGACCAAAAAAAAGGTGAAGAGCTCTGTTCCATCCCAGTCAGTTAGTGTATTAGTCCTAATTTCCTTAAACCATGAGCAAACCAATCCTTTCAAAAAAAGAAAAAGCCCACAAAAACCCCACACCCGAAACCATAAAAACCATTCGGTTAAAAACTGGCTTCTCAAAGCCTTTATAAAACCTAGATGCCCTCTTCAGTTGGTGCATAAGAAAATCCTAAAAAGGCATCTGAGGCACTGGAGCTGCTGGCTGCTAGGTCAGGCGTTTGGGTGATGGAGGCAGAAATAGCTTCTTGAGTGAACTCTGGATCAAAGTGTCGCAGATCAGCTGGACCAGCCTAAGCCAAGGAGCAGACACACACAGTCATTTCAAGGGAGTAGACCCCAACCAACCACTTGTGTTCAGACAATCTAACACAACTGCTCTTCCAAAAGCATCATCACTGCTGCATTTGCAATTCCTAACCTCAATTCAGTGTAAGACATCTGGAGAGGATTCCTTCTGTACCAGTATATAACAGATACCAACATAGATACCCACTTACCACATTAGGGTTAAATGGAGGAGTAATCCTCTTGTGGTACAAGTCATCCCAGTTTATTGGGCTGAAGAATACATGGTTCCTTATTTCAAGCTGCATAGAAAGCACAGGCAAAAAAAGTCAGTCTTCTGCCAACCGTCCTTTCCAGCACCTGCCAGCTGGTTTCATAGCATTAAGTGGCTGAAGCAAGACTTGGAGCTACCCCATATCCATGTAGGGGCCATGTAGCAAATCCTTAATACAGGAGAGTCATGGTCCAGTAATCCCTTGAAGGGAGATGACACCATCACACATTGGTGTCCTAGCTTGCCACCACGCCTTGAATCATACTGTGTCCCTTTGGAAATCCAAATCAACCCCATATGCCCCTTTAGGAGGCTGGAGAGACAAACTGCATGGAAAGCTTTTCCAAGGCAGTGCTGTTATGAGAGAAAGGCTCAGAACAGAAAGGTTTCCTATCTGTCCTCCCTGTGATCCTAATGGAGGCCACCTACAAAGTCTGTCTTGGCACCCAGCCTCCTCTTCTGGTCCTTGTGGAGAAGTCCCTGGAGGATGTCACAAGCTGCCACAGTCTTGCTTCCTTGGATCTGGAGTGGCTTGTGCAGAATGTTGTCATACATCTGAGACACATCCCGGCTGTAAAAAGGAGGCTAATTTGGAAGAGAGGAGAAGCAGCCAGATAAAACATGAGCTACCATAAGGAATCACACATCACAGGTCAAAATGAGTCCTGCAGAGAGTAGATGAAGGACACCTGCCATATCTCAGATATAGAATTGATGTCTCGGTTCAATGGTATGCTTGAAACAGGTCATCTAATTCAGGATTCAGTTGTCCATGTCAGGTACCATGGGAACACCAGACCAACCTCACATCACAACTTTCAAAAATAAATACTCCACCACGTAGCATAAACCAGACAGCTTCCAGACTTACCAGTCCAAACAACATCTCATAGAGGACAGCTCCTAGGCACCACCAGTCTACTGTCCTGTCATACGGCTGCTTCTTTAGCACCTCAGGAGCCAGGTACTGGGAAGAGTCAGAAGTAAATATCTGAGTCAAGTTATAAAAGAAGGGCTTTGTCCTCATAAGTACACAAATCTGTCTGCAGTTCAAACTGAGCAAATGCATTGGGAAGCACAGAGATGCATTTACTACTATGCTTTGATAGACTCTCCACTTGCTTCAGAGCAATGTGTTTGAAAGACACCTAAAACCCCCAGAGTGTTTTTCTGGGCCACAGAATGTTCTCTTCCTGTAGACAAGTTGTGGTGGGTGGCAAATCCTTGTACAACTCAACCAGCAAACTGCACTGACACATTACACCTCTTAAGAGGCTCCTGTGGTTTTGAGAAAGCTGCATTTTTCAGTTCCAATAAGTCTGTCCAAGGCAGCAAAACTACCAATAACCACCAGTGAGGAGCAACAGGGAAGAATTCAAGTGGCCTGCAGGACAAGCAGGACATCAAGTCTAGTCTCACACAGGATTATCTGTCTACTATCAGGCTTCCTACCTAGGGCAGGAAAAAAAAAGAGCCAACATGCATCAAAACCCACAGACCTAACCTCAAACCTTCCTGCTTGGTTTGTGCTGTACTATTGCAAAAGTGGGTCCCCACCGAAAGCAGAGGGCTATCACTAGGAAATTCCTGTCCACTTCTACTGAGCTTGAACACTGAAAGGCATCTTGTTTACAGACCCTTCTCCAAGCTGTCCAAGGAAGGGTGGGACAGGTGTATTACTCAGGCCAAAGAGCTTTCAAAATCCCCAGCTCAGCAAGAAGCAGAAAAAAATCCTCCAAGAAGCTGAACTGGAGGTAGGTTTTAGCAAAGCCTAGTTGAGGTGCATTGGAGAAAAGGAGTTCCCTCCCCTCAAGCAGTGTTCACGTTCCAGAGGAGAGCCTGGTCCTCTCCTCTGCACAGTGTGTTTTGCAGTTCGTGTACACCAAGGACACACAGAAGAGCACAGCAAGGTCCTGTGCTTATCAGTACCAGCAGGCTCCCTGTTCTGCAGCTCCAGGGTATCAGAGCAGGTAAACAGCCTGCTCATAGGCTTGCCCGTAGGCTCCCAGGGTCAAGGTTATCTTCAACTGCAACAGCCCCAGTTTCACAACACCGGCCATTTCCAAGTGCAGGGATCCCTGCCCCTGATGGCACAGAAAATTTAGAGCACTAGTTGGCTGTTAGGAGTGAAACTGTCTCTGCTGAGCAGGGAAGGCCTTATCTGAAGTCCAATTTCAGGTTGACAACCTCAGAGACCCCAAGATGGTCTGATTCACAGAGCCCATATTTTGAGATGCTGAGCACCCACCCAAGTCTGAGACCCAGAGCAGGAAGTCTCTGAAGGCTTCCAGCCCCTGGGTCACAACAAAACCCCAGCACATGTACCTCAGGAGTGCCACAAAAAGTAGAAGTTGTCTCCTCTTGCTCCATTCCTTCTTTGCAGAGTCCAAAGTCTGTCAATACTATATGTCCCTAAAGAAGAAAGAAATTTCAAGCTTGGCCCACGCTTTCTAGAGAGGAGACAAGATTTCCAAGAATTGGCCTTCACATTGCGTCTCATGCACAATTTAGTTCCCCACTGCTCATCTGTTTTTCCTCCCTCACCTTCTGGATATCCTATAGTACAAGAATAGGAGCCTGTAGAGAAAGAGTCTGGATTTTTTTTTTTTTAATTTGTCTACAACTGCATCGCTATGACGAGACCCAGCACTGCTGTGCTTTGCCACTGCTTTATCCCAGAGACGGTTTATATAGCAGTCACCATCAGAGTAGCAGCAGTGACTTGCTTTTAGCACCCCTGATGCTTGCCCACAAGTCAGGTCCCAGCTTTTGGAAATGAGCCGAGAGGGCCCCAAGTGTGCAGTTCTGCAGAGGGCAGGCTCACCCCCTCTTGCAGGATCTGCACAGAAATGCAGTGGTGCACACAGACACAATCCATGCAGTGAAGTGAGCTATAGCCCAGCTTGCAGAACCGTGACCCTCTGTGGTCCTGATGCATTTAAAGCCAGAAGGAAGACAGCAGGAGCTGTGAATATACCTGGCAATCCAGGAGAATGTTCTCGGGTTTTAAGTCCCTGCAAGGCAAAAAGTGCTGTTTGAGCAGATTTGGCCAGATACTTAGAAGAGCTGGATCTGAAGCAGCATCATCTAAGAACAGGAGCTAACAAAACTTCCCAATCCAGTTCACCAAGACCTTCCCAAAGTGCAGATTCCCATCACTGTTGGGTATCAACATCCACACATGCAAACATAGAAAGACTGCTGTCATACAGGATCGGGTGTTGGCCTGCATTTCTCTGCATATCTATACATAAATTATTACTGAGAGACAATTTCTTACTTACTGAGGGAGGTTTATTTTATATCTTTGCATTTAGCCATTCCCTTTCCTTCCCCCTGTCAGGCTGGTACTATTTGTTGTCCGTCAGGCCCTGTGCAGACAGCATCCCTCTTGCAGGATAAAGTGCCAGCAGCACACTGTCTTATCTGATGTAGGAGATTCTTCAGCTACTCCAATCTTCCATTTTGCAGGCCCCAGTAAAGTCCTTTTCCTCCCCAGCACTGCACACAGCCTGGCTGGGCAGACTTGGTGACCCTGCATGCCCCAGCAGGACACACACCTTACCTGTAAATGATGTTTAAGGAATGCAGGTACCCAATTGCACTAGCAACTTCTGCAGCATAGAATCGGGCCCGGGGTTCACGGAAACAGCGCTCCCTTTGCAAGTGGAAGAAGAGCTACAGGCAGATGAGAGAGTTGATCATTTCTTCTCTAAAAAAACCCTGAAGGATATCTGAAGCAAGCCTGAAAATCAGCTACTCTAGTGAAAACTAATTTGCAGCAAGTAGCATATGAACAGCACCAACTAAGCCTGAACCATGTGACTTTAAGCAACCTAAACACCTCTCTAGAAATTGCTTCATTTGTCCTTCTCTTATGTCACCATGTCACTTAGGAATTCCTTCCTCTCAAAAATGGTCATCTGCTGATCTAGTTAAGCTTCCTAGCTTGCTACAACCCACAGGCCAATTATAGTGGTAGTACGGCCATGAAGAGTGGTGCATGCACAGAGCTGAACCCACTAAGATCCCAAATATGAATTCTGTTTGGGCAAGACATCTATGTTAACAATATCTCCCAGCCAGTTTCAGATAGCACAGAAAAGACAGCTGAAAAACCGTGAGCTTCTACAGGACAGAAAAAGTAGTCTAGCATACTGCAATGGCATCACCCAAGCACTAGACTAGGATCCAGAGCTGGCCCACAAGTGGTTTTTGCCTAAAGCTCACCAACATCAGTATTTCCCATATTCTCCATAGGATTTTAAAACACCCTGGCACATGCTTTTCTCAGCATCCTTGCCTTGGGAATAAATAATCTGACTGGGGTCATAGCCAGGAAAGGTTTTCCCTCAGTTTACAGGTGAGATAGCATGCCAGCTACTCCTGGCTGGTCCTTGCCAGAAGTCAAAGCAATATTATACTTCAACATCATTGTCTTCTGACAAGAAGCAGGTTTAGGCTATAAAGCAGCAGGTTTAGGAAGGTCCAAATAGAGAATTAAAGTGAAGCCTGTAAGTGCACTCACCTCTCCTCCATTTACATAGTCAAGCACAAAGTAAAGCTTCTCAGAGGTCTGGAAGGAGTAATGGAGTCCCACAAGGAAGGGGTGCTTGACATTTTTCAGGAGAACATTGCGTTCTGCCATGATGTGGTTTTGCTATCAAAAAGCAGGCAAGGCGTTAGAGTTTCAGGCAAGGGTCCAGTCCAGCCTGCCATAGGGGCTCACTGCTGTTTTCAAAACAGGTAGAAACTGGGGGCCCAAGAAGGTCATCTCCAGCCCCAGGAAGGGAACCACTCATTGCTATCTGACCCAATTTGTCTCAGTTCCCATGGCACAGAGAAATCTATTTTTAACATGTGAGTTGTCTACATGAATGCCAGCCACAAGGTACCTCAATTCCATTACCTGGATAGCTCCTACACAGACTACTATCCACAGAAATAGCCAGGGAGAGCAGACATACCTCCTTTTTCTTTAGGATAGTTTTCTTATGCAAGACTTTCACTGCATAAAAAGTCCCATCACACTTGCGTTTGGCCAGGAGAACCTGCAACAGAAGGTCCCGTCATGGGTTTCAGTCTCACCTTCTGCCATTTTGTTAGTGTTTCCTTATCAGCTCAATGCTCTTGTGAGTGATTATACACAGAGTACAGCTTCAGAGGGTCAGATACAAAGTTTTAAGGACCAAGTTCCAGCCCCTGACTTCCCAGCACTTTCTCATCGCTGGAAAGAAGCACACAACATCTCTGCATACGTCTCTTACACACCCAATAGAAAATAGTTTTGGAGTGTTCAGCGACAGTTCTGTTTAAAGGGGATCCTTGCTGTCTCACAAGGTACAGATTTGTCTGGAGACCTTTTGCTAGCTGAACAAGCCTGAAGCTTATTTTGAATCAGTTATTGCTCCTAACCATCACCACCCTGAGCATAAAAGACCTCATACTTCTGTCCTTAGAGTGGTTGCAGAACAGCTCAACATAAGAACAGACTATGAAAACCTTATCTCAGGTCTCATCTGGCCTCAGTCCCACTCAGGCCGAACTCCTCAGGAGAGGTGCAAGCAAAGGACACATCTAGAAATTCCTTCAGCCAGGAAGTCTCTTTCCAATCAGCCTGCAGAGAGCCACAGCCCACCCGTACAGACCCACTTACTTTTCCGAAGCTTCCTTTGCCAATAACCTTCAGGAAGTCAAAGTCTGTTGGCTTGGCACTGTTGGTCAAGAATGAAACAGGTTAATGTTTCTGGGAGAGAAACATGCAACAGCAACACTGCGATCAAAGCAGAGTTCCTTCTTGGAAAAACAAGTGTTTGTGAAAGGGATTAAAGGGCACTGGACAGGTGACACCCCCTCCCAGTAAACAGGGGATTCACACTATGTCAGTCAGTGCACGCAGCAGAGG